AATTTGCACAAACGAATTATCAGAGCAAATTTTGATATATTATATTATCCTACTATTGTTATACAATTTATTAACATACTCTTTTTTAGGTTCATTTAGGTTCTTTTGATAACGATAGCAGAAAATAGCTATCAAAACGTCAAGGTAATTCTTCAAATTAATTTCTCTACTAATTGGACTTTTCTCTTACAGCTTGAGCCTAAGTGTGTCGCAGGATACCCTCTAGGTGATAGTTCTTGATTACTTTTTGATAAATAATTCGTTCTTATTGCGAAATAGGAGCACTATTTATCAATCTGTAATAAAAGACGTGAGACAATTCTGTCTTTTTTAAAGACAAAAATTTTTGAGGCAAAATACCCAAAAGAAGTTTGTAAAAAAAGTATAATGATTGTTAAACGGTGCTATCTTAAATGGACCATGCATATGAAATTTCAATAATCGCATGGAGTTACGTAAGCAGTATTAACTGCACGCCACAGTCCACAGTGTGCAAAGGCGGAAAGAAAATGTTATACTCATTTTATTGCATTGTAATGCGGATTGCAACATTGTGTGCAAGAAAGGCAGTCAATGTCACCTTTAATTCCAAAACTTGCCATGTATGCAACTGCAATCTGTGTGACTGGATTTGAAAATGTTAAAACGCTCACGCTAGAAGCTTCTACTTATGCATAAAACACTAAAAATCCATTCAATGTTTAAGTAGCCTGAACTTAGGCTTCTTAAATTGCGTTTAAAACACTGGTCTCTGTGCGAAAAACACTTTTGTATCTCAAAATCAGGGGCATAAACACCAGTTATTTCAGCCACTAGTACTGACGTCTGTTTTCTAGTGATTTGAAGTCGTTTTCAGTCAGAAACTGCAAAGAAATATACAATTTGACCCAAAAGAGAGTTTTGGGGATTGTTCACGGGATCGAGAATGTTCAATACATTTTAGTCCAAGGCATTATAATCACATAAAATAAGCAGAAAGCTATTAAAGACCGCCTTGCACACATCGTTAATCGAATCACTCACTTCCTACAAACGTGAAGAGGCAAAGTATCTAGTTGACTTGAGGTACGAACAAAAGCGCAAACTTAGACAGAAATCACACATTTACTGTGCACGAATATGGTCGAACGTGTGCTCATTTACCTTTCTTCTGAAAGCAATTTAATTGATATTCTACTCAGGTATGTTAATTAACCATAATATGATCTATGTACATGTTTATTAGACATCCTGTAATAACTACCTCAGCACTTTGGCGTGTTTAAAGGAAATTAATTAAATGTTACAAACTGGAAAGTTTACGCACGCTGAAATTAAGTAATATAATGGAGATATTGTAAACAAATTGATGATTTCTGATTAGTATTCCGTCGAGCTAGGAAGTTAGAAGTGGAGAAGGAAGTGCCGTGACTGTAAGATTTTTCTATGAGTGCATATTAATGGTTTTCCTTTTGCAAAAATTGAACTGAATTGAAAGTAGAATGTGTCGTTTCGTGGTACTACTTTTGTCCTGATCGCATTATTATCCATGAACAACTGGTGGGAAAAGATAGGATAATTGCACACAATACAAACCGAAAATAACTAAATTCTTGAACCCTGAGGATGGCTGGGTTTTTGCCTCCATCTATTGACTGATTAGCCTTGATTGCTGTGCTTTCTTCGCATTTTCTGTAGTATTTTTTAAAAATATTTTGGTTGCTTCATGACATTTTTCATGATTCTAAAATGCTGCTGATCTCCTTTCGATGATCAAAAATTTAGTAGACATCCAAGATTTGAATGCCTTTGTTGTGCTTTACGAAGCATAAATCTTCTTCTTGTAGTGCCTATCTAATCGAAACGGATGTTGGCGACTAGCATGGCGATTTTCACTTTGTTGCAGCAATGCGGAACCATTCGATCGTTGTTTTTCCAAACCACTTTCTCAGGTTTTACAGTCGGCGTCCGGGACTACGTTTTTCTTCAATTTTCTTCTGAATAATCAACTGTAGTAGAGTGCATTTCAGGTCGTTTCTCATAATATGGAGTTTTTAATGGCATTGAGAACTTGTTCAGTTTCCGTATGCTGATGAATCGACAACAAATTTGAGATTTTGCCAATTGAATCGACTTGATTTTGCTTCAAAAATCATTGATGCAAATTGTCTTCTACTTTTTTAGATGTGGACAAGTTTGCCATGTAGGCTCAGTTTCTCTAGTTAAGATCTGACGCCTTTCTTCACCAAATGCTAGTTGAGTTGCAAAATCCACTTGAACATGACGCTGCTTTTTTCGAGGGTTCTCAAGAACCATTCGAGCCACAGAATTCGTTTTGGCATCGTTGGATAAAGAATTGAAAAGTCGATTCAGTCGAAACAAAGTGAGTGAGGAAATTCGAGTAGTTTTGACCCAGAAAGCGAAATTTGAATATCAGACACTTACGTGCAAGATTATGCCAAAATTTCATGTTTTC